TAGAAAATATGCAAAAGAAGCTTGCTAAAGATCTTAAATTAATTCCTGTAGTATGATTACTAAAAAAATGGTAAAATTCCAAATTACATAATGGTAATTGAGAATCAAAATAACTAGGAATATTATATTGCAATGCATGTAAAATTATAGAAGTACATTCTAAGTTTCTAGTTAAACTATCACCAAACATGTCTCCTATTTGAATTTAACTAGACTGCAAATAATGAATTAATACAGTACATATTATTTTGTATAAAGACCAGAATGACAGAAAAAAGTTTTAACCAATCTTATACAAAGTTTGAAACTTTAAAATTTTTGCTCTAAAAATTATCTTCTACTTCTTTTAAGCTTTTTTCAATAAGCTTATAATCAGTATCGACTAAGTATTTTTCTTTTATATTTTTAATAAGATCTTCCTATTTAGATTTTGGCATGACCTTTAATCTGTTCGGATCAATTCTTTTGCTCTTAGAAATTACGTTCCACCCTAAACGCACAACAAGCATGAAAGAATGTCATACTGCGATCATCTCATCCCTAATTCTTGCTTTTTCTTTTATAATGCCCAATGCTTCTTCTTTTATAATCTTATATACCTGTGCTTTAACTGTTTCACCTTTTAAAAACAAACTATTTTATTCATTTGCATCGGGGTTTTGTCTCCATCTACCTGTTTCTTGATAAATTAAAAATATTAATGAGATAGAGTAAGTAAATAAAAAGTTTTAAGATTAGTACAATTTACATATTATTATTTATTTTACAATATTTCATTTAATATACATATTATTAATTATTTTACAATATTTTATTTAATATACATATTATTAATTATTTTACAATATTTTATTTAATAGAAATATAGATTCAAATGACTTTCAAATTATATGGATGTTGGTCGAATTTCTGAATGAAATTAACTTTTATAGTGTACAGACTCGAGAATTATTTGTATTAAGTATGATGTACTGTTACAGTACTGTGGCCTTCTTAACAGCAGTACTATAACAATGACATGGCTACAGGGATCCTTTACAGGATTATAGCAGTGTCCAACAGGTAAGTATAATTTCTACTACAACTAGAAACTATACCCTTCTGTCTGTGGCAGTTCGGG